TTTATCACTCATTTTCTATTCTTTACTCTTTTTTTTTTTTGCATTTCAATGTTATATTCATTTTTCTTTTTTTAATTAACAAATTTTCTCTTTGTTTTCTTATCCAAAATATTCCAATTTCATTTACAAAAAAAAATCATAAAATCATATGTTTCATATAATTTTAAAAATTTAGGGAATTGCTACTTAGAAGAAAAAAATTTATGCATTCATATGATTTTATGAATTTTAGAAAGTTAAATTTTTTTTTTTTTTGATTAAATTATTCTAAAATTGAAATTTTTGCATCATTCTTTTTCTTTTTCTTAAAAAAAAGGGAAAAAAAATGTCTAGATCATTTTATTTGATATATTGTACAAACATTAAGGTAAATATAATTTATCTAAAATGATTTATTTCAAGTTTTCATCTAAGATAATTTATTATATGACAAATTAAATCCTAGTTTATACCACTACAATTAAAAAATCGCTGTATAATTGTGTTAGATAAAAAATATAAAATAAGATGAAGAAAATGTAAACATAATAATTATTAATATTTATTATATAATAAAAAATAAATGATTTTTAACACTTTTAGTATTTTATATTATTTTTTTTTTTCATTATAATAGTTCACAATTTTTAACAATTTGTATTTTAAAAAATAAAAATTCTTTCATTCTTTCTTTTCTCATTTACATAAATCTATCTAATATACTTCGAGTTTCCATTGTTTACATAATCAATTACAGATATTATCTCACCAAAAAAAAAAGTTGAAAAAAAAATTAAAAATGGAAGATTAATTTTATGTTTAACCTTCCATTTTTGAAAAGATGAAGAAGCACAGTTTTTTAATTAAATTTTATTTTTTCTTGTTTGGTAATTTAAAATAGACCGAGAAAAAAAAGAAGAGAGGAATGATTCGTTTTCTTTTTAATTAAATACCATTATTAAAATTTATCATTCATTATTTTATTGTTCAAAAAAAGAAGAAAGGAAAAAAATATATAAAAATGTTATTTCTCTTACTTTATTACTTTTAAATGACTACAAAAAGTCACAAAGAAAAGTATAAAAAATGAATTTATTCATTTCACTCAATAATAAAATGGAATATCTCTCCTCTTTTTATATTATTAAATGATAAAAGTAATATGACATCGGTTAACGAATTAAATTATAAACTATTAGATCAAATGTATTCCTCCTAAATCCCTCTCTCTCTCTCTCTCTCTCTCTCTCTCTCTCTCACTTTATCGTTCAGTAATGTTTCTTAACTATTTATATTTATATGTTAGAGCGTTTAAAAATAAATGAAATTGTTTTCACAAAAAAAAAATTACGCTTACGCAGCACAGACAATATGAAAAAAAGAAAATCGTAATTTCATTAATTAATTTTGAACTTTAATTAAATTATGCTTTTTTACATCTAAAAAATGAATAATTTATGGAATTTAGCAGTATTAAAATGTATTTTCGAAGTTTTTAAAACAATGAATGCTTTGTTTTCGTGTTTACTGTTAGTATATGCATTGTTGTTTGTTTGTTTGTTTATTTTGTTTGGTTTTGTTTTTTTTTTTCTTTATTGGTAAAATTAAACTAAATATTTATTTTTCTTTTTTGATTTCTAACATTTTTTTGTTACTTTTCAACAATGTTTTTAGTTTATTTTCACCTTTTTTATTACAAAATATTTCATTTCTAACATTTTTTTTTCCTTTAAATTTAATCAATGCAATCAAATTTTAAGATCAAAATAAATTAATCAAATTTGAATTAATTTAAAAAGAGCAACCGAATCAATAATTATGGATAAATGATGACAAAATATACAAATTATGCAAGTATGTCAAGTTCAATAAAAAAAATAAGAAAAAAAAATTAAAAAAAAAAAAATAAACTAGAAAAAGAATGAGAAATAGATAGAGAAAAGAAAAAGAAAAACAAAAAAAAAGAGGTTTTTCTGATAAAAATTTTTCATCCATTTCATTGCTTATATATTTTCATTTTTTAATTTCACATTTTTTTTTTTTTTTAAATAAAAAGAATTAAAAATTTGCAACATTTCAAAAAATTTTTTTTATTGCAAACATAATTAGAAAGGGTCAATTGTGATAGATAAAAATGGAAAAGATTGAAAAAAAAAAGAAAAGCTATAGATAAAAAATCTGTAAATTTTAAATTTATTGAATTTTGCTGAGAAGTTATTGAAGCGATTCGTAATTTATTCTGAATTCATTAAGCAAATTTTATGCTTCTTTTCTCTTATTTTTTCATTTTCTGTCATACTTTTTTTATTTTTAACGATTATTTTACTTTTCCCGTTAGCATTTTTTTATTTTTTACATTTTGTCTAACATTTTAAATATATTTTAAAAGTGTAAAATTATCAAAAAATTTTATTTTAATTTAAAATATACGAAGTTAATTACTTAGCTACGACATTGTGTTACAATTTTATATTGTCAAATTAAGTGCGTCATTCTTCTTTTATTCGAAATTTCAACCTTAAAAATGACAAATTAGAAAATTTCAACCTTAAAAATGACAAACTCAGTATGAAAATGATTTCTTCAGTTTAAATCACATTTATAAATATAAAATAAAGTTTATAATTTAAATTACTTCATTCCATCTTTTACATGCACTCTTCTTTTGCAACAAACAAGTAAAGTTGAAATTTCAAATAACTTAGTGACAAATTTTAATTGCTTCCTTCTTGTTCTCTCATAATTTTTACTTTTTATATTTTTTTTTTACTTTCTTTTCTCCATATTTTTGTGTTTGTTTTTTATCAAAGCTGAAATTATTTCCAAAAAGTTTTAATTTTAATACTTCATACAAATTCGTTTTTCAATCCATGAGTTAAGGTTATGAATTTATTATTTTTGAAATGATTTAAGCATTTTTATTCTCCCTTTTTTTTGGAAATATGAAAAGAAAGTATTTAAGTTTTTGATTCCGAAAATTTCGATGATATTTGTTTTAATTAAATTTGTAATTTGATAATTAAGAAAATAACAATTTCTATTGCTTACTTTTTTCCTCTTCTTTTTACCTATTTAGTCTTAGGTAAAGAAACATTACTTAACCATAGTAAAATGGTATGTTCAATATTTAATTTTTAATTTAATATTTCAATTATTTTCGTTGCTTGGGAAAAATTCTAAAGCTTACACATGTCTTGTTAGGTAAAATTTTTTACCTCATGCTTGTGGGATTTCTCGAGATTGCTAATGAATAAAATAATTACATTAAAATTAAATAAAAGGCATTTCTCAGTTATCAAATATTGAATCGAAATTCATTTTTGTTTTTGTTAGTTTTTCTTCCATCTATTATTGATTTATATTCTACATTTTTCCTTAAACTTTCTTACATTTTTAATTTTCTTTCATTTAGTTTTTTTTTTCCTTCTTTCTTTGTTATAAAATTTGATTGTAAAAGGAAAAAAAAAAGGTACTGCAAACGAAAAAGGGAAAAGAGCACATCAAAAAGCACATTTTGCATATTTTTAATTAAAAATTTATTACTTTTAGTAATGTTAAAAAGTTATGAAAATTTCCTTCCTCATTGACATCGTAAATATGTAATAAATTGACATAAATGAAAATTAAGTTGAAAAATTGCAGAAAATTAAATTAGATGGGAATGATGTAAATTAAATTAGAAATGAAAAAAGGTGAAACAAAATATGTCCTATAATAGCAATATAAAAAAATTTAAATAATTAAATTAAGTTAAATGTAGTAGTTTTAAATTAATTTTCACCAAAGTAAATGAAATAAAATTTATATTTAGTGCTAATGTAAGGAAATGAAAAATAAATAAAATTCAAATTGGATTTTAAATTCCATGATATGAATAAAACTAATGGAAAAAAAAACGTATATTCTGGCGTTACAAGTCATCATTTTCGCAAAAATTTTTTGAACTAAATTCGAATTTCATTTATATTATTATGCTTTGTTCAGATATTAATTATAAAAATGAAATTAATTGCTGTATAAAGTTTTTTTTTTTTTGATAAAATCATGAAGCTTTCGCATAAAATAATTTGAAAAATAAATGACAGATTGTTCTTTGCTAAGTTTTCTTTGGTCAGTTTATTGAAATTAAAGCAGGAAAACTTAGGAAATAAATTTTTTTGTTTGAAAAAAATGATATTTCAAAAAGTTGATATCGTGGGAAAAGTTTTTAGTGCTATCATTTTTCTCTTATCAACTTCAATAAATTTTATCATAGTATCTTTTCTTTGTTTGAATTCTCACTCAATTCGAATATATGAACATACAACATTCTAACTTACTTTTTAAAAGAGCATTCTCAAACTTACTTTAAGAAAAATTAATAGTTTTGATTATTTCATACTACTTTATATCATCTCGTTTCTCTCTTCGTTCCTTACATTATTATTTATTACATACCTGTCGTATAATTATTGTTTTGCTATAATAATTTAATAAAACTGACACAATGAGTAATGACATTCTCATACCGTAGTCGTCTCGATCAATATTAAAATTTTATTGGGTTCTGGTCAAATGTCATATTGCATACTGTACATACCGTATGTGCAAGAAATGTTCATGTACACATGTGTCTTCTACCGTATCTACAAAAGTAAAATGTAGTTTTTACAATTCAAATAAGTTCATATAAAGAGTGGCTAATGTTTTTAAAGTTACCACGATTAAGCTAAATCTTTCCTCTAGCATACGGTAGCATTCAAATGTTACTACGGTAGAGTTGATATAGCATACTGTATTAAATGATGCACAAATATCTGTATGCATATGTACTTGTAAAATTTAAAAAATCAGTGCATTTCTAGTATTATAGTGAAACGTTTCAAAATTAATTCTGATATTCTCTCAAAATATTTACTATTTTGAAATATTCAAACTGAACAAGGATTCATTTTAGGTTTCATCAAAATTATCTTCTCATCGATTTTAAAATGATTGGAATGATCAGAAAGATAATGATGAAGTGATAATATGATACGCAAATGTTTACTATAATTACAGTAACAACTAATACATTTCTCTTACTACTACTAACATTATTACCAACTATGGCATTTTTCTTCGGTTCCAGTACTGATCAAAATCATTGCAATCGTTTAAAAGTTGAACAATGTTTCAAAACTGCCTTTCAGGTATTCTACACTTTTTTGAATTTTTTTTTTGAAATTTATTTTGGAGGAACATTTGTTTTTCTTAATTTCAAAAACATACAAATAAATTAAATAAGACAATATTGAAACGCAACAGTCAGCAAAATCATCTCTTTTAAAATTACTTAAATTCTGACTTCTTTTTTTTAAAAAAGATTTGCATGTTTTTATCAAATTTTTTATTGAAATAATTTTCTTTTTATTAAAATTCCCAATATATAATTTCAACCACTGAATCAAAGTAATTTCTAAATAATATTTATCAATTTTTTGTGCTTTACAAATTTTAAATACAATACAGATTCAAGAAGTTTAGACAATGCGTATTCGACGAAATGTTGATAACAATCAAAGTCAATCAACAGAAACGTCGAAAGTACGACATCGATGTTCGTTGAGAAGCGTAACACACGTGATGATGCCGAGAAATCAGCACTTATGTGCTGCAAATCGACATTACTTATCGTGTTTCAATAATGACGCATGCCAAGATGATTATACGGCACAGGTAAATCACTTTATTCTTTTTAGAAATATTTAATTTTATATGAAAATTTTTAGAAATATTTAAAAATAAACGTTACAATTAAGTAATGATTTTATTACAAAATTCACATTTCTTACATTTTTTATCTTTCAAAATGCAAAAAACAAATGTTTATCACAAATTTTAGGGCAAAATTTTAACACTTTATTTTCGAATTTTTGAAATTTTTGTGATAGCTCTTAAACATTCCTAAATTTCTTCTAATTATGCAACAGTTTTTTAAATAGGTAAAATTGTAACATTTATAGATTGCATCAACTGTATTTAACCAAATTCACGGGCGCATTTTACCGATACAAATGTTTTTAGCACATCGAGGATATGCTCTACGGGTAAGTTTATCTTTTCAAAATTAAAACATTGAAATTAAGAGATACAATTTTATTTGATTTAGCTGTTTAAATTGCAACAATATTTAAAATTTATGAGTACATTTTATCGATCGATTGATCGAAATTCGTACAAAAAAAGAAAAAAGAATGAAAGAAACCTTTGGTATTACTGTGAAAAAAATATTTATTCTCATTTACCGGCTGAGTTATTTATAAAAACGAGAATAATGAATTGTTAGATATAAAATAATTTTCAAAGTTTTGGAAGAAATTTGTAGAAGATCGTTTTTGTTGGAATAGAATCGAAAATATTTTGTCAATTATAATATGCATGTTAATTTGAAATGATTTATTTTTCTGATTTTTAAACTAATAACTTTCATTTCTATCGTTGAAAAATGAAAAATGAAGAAAGTAATTTGAAGTAAATAACAAAAAAAAAAAAAAATGAATGATTGGCATTTACATTATATTCAATTAATTCCTAAAACTTTTTATTTATCTTCACATGTCCTTTTTGCAAAAAATGCAATAATCTATGAAATTTTCATTGCTTTTTTCAATTTCTCCTATTTTTCGAACTTTATGAAATTAAATCATCAAAAAATGGTCGAAAAAGCTATGATAAAAAAATATTACAAGCATATTTAAATAGAAATTTTAATATCTTACTTAAGCACTAACTGGTTATTTATATTTTTCTAATTAGGTATATGTATAAAATATTATTTTGTTTGTTTTATTTAATTCCGTATCTGAAAAAAAATAAAACTGAAATTTTCACATAAAAATTTTAATACATGTTATTTATGCTACTGCATTCATATTTACTAATTTTAATTATGTTTACTTGTTTATATTTTTGTAACTGTATAGTATTTATTATATCGTACTTTTTTATCAATTATATTTTCTAATTAATTTTTACTACGTTCATTCATTTTTTTTTCCTTACGTTTATTTATTTTAACTTACTTTTTTAAACAACTATGAATATGATTTGAATGTTTATTTCTTTAAAATATAAAAATTTAGATTAAATTAATATAATTATTTTAGTTAATATTTATTTTAGCTATGCTCACAGACTTGCTCACATGAAAGTCGCATGAAATGTCAACAAATGTTAAGCATTGAGGAACGACAGGAAGAGCAAGGAAATTATTTGAAATTGGTGAAACTAGCAAAGAAAATAAGTCTATCAAGTTTTGTTGATGAAATTAACCTATGCCATCGCTTTAAAATGACATTAAGGAAGGTAATAGCATTTGATTTATAAATTTTGTAATAATGCATATTTGATTAATCTAATTAAATTAAATCCAATTTTTAAATTATCAATTAAAAACAGAAAGAAACTTTTTTTAAGCTTGCAGTTTAAAATCTTTATATTTTTCTCAACTTATAACAAAGCATATTTAATAGTTCAATTATATAACACATTTAAATTTAATATTCAAATTATTTGAATTACAAGCAATTTATACTTATGATGTCAAATACACTTAACACTTTTTCATTCTTCCTATTAAGTGTGCATTTTAATAATAGCATTTCTTTATAATTTTTTTTTTTTTCAAATAAATAATTATTTTTAAATTGTGTAATATTTTAGAAATTATTATTGTTAACCTAAGAAAATATATAATATTTTTCAGCTTATCCAGTACCGTACACAATTTTGTGGTGAAGTAGCGAAATGTATTTGCAATGATATGAATATTCAGGCAGGTGTGATGCACTGTAAAGCAGGTTGTGATAGTATTGTTGAAAAAATTACAACAGTTAAATCAAGAAGAAATAAAATTTCATCAAAAGCAAATGCAATTTCATTTAATAATTTTATTACTTTATTCATTCTATTCAGGTTATCGTAAAAAAAAAAAAAAGAAATTGAAAAATTTTTGAATAAGATGGCTAATTAATTTTATTGTATAATATGTTTTTATTATCATTTTTTTTTCATATATATTAATAATTGAAAGTTTAGTATATACAATAATATATTTATGATTAATGTGTAATTGATTTATGATTAAAAAAATTGAAAGCACATCAATACATATATACAAAATATCATTTATAGGAAATTTTTTGCTGAATTTAATAACAAAAATTAAAATTTAATCACATTATCTACATCTATATTTCATGTGCAGTTGCACTAAAGTTTGCTAATGTTTTTGATAAAATTTATTGAAGTATTAATGGATTTTTGTTTTTTTATAAAGAATTGGAAAAATCGAATGAGCGCTTTTCTGAGAAAAAAGTAAACAAATCAAAAAATAAATATCATGTAAATGGTCAAAGATCTTTGAACATCCTTAATAAATGCATTAATATTTCATTTTTTTAAAATCATTCTTCTTGATACATAATTATTGAAACAGCATAGTCAAAGAAATAATTATGCAAAATGCATATTAGTAGACTTTATTAATATTAGTAATTGAGTATATCATTTCCAATATGTACAATTAGTTTATCAGTAAACTGTAAAAGTAGCAATAGGAAATTTTAATTTTTGATTAGTTCAATTCATCGTTTCCTTCTTTTTTTTTTCTTTCATTTAATCTAATTGTTCCGTTGGAAATGCTTTTAGAAATGGAGAATTTTCAAAAAGATTCTCTTCTTCAGAATCCATTGATGGTAAACCAGGTTCCGGTACATCAGACATTAAACCTTGACCAATCCATTTATGCACCTGTTTACACTTAGCCTTTAATAATTCAATTCGTTCCAAAGGTGAAAGCTGTGGTTTCGTATAATTAGCCCAGTCATCACTCTCGACATACATCTCATAATCATATCGAGCTTGAATCATTTCATCTATGATTTTTGGTTGCTCGTTAACATTTAAGTGCAAACTGAAATTATAAAAGTGAATTTAAAAATTTCCAAAAAAAAAAAATTTAAAAATTACACAAAAAGCAATAATGACTGTAAGAAATGTAATAAATTGTATATTTACTGTTTTTTTTTTTTTTTTCTTCTCTTTTTATAAAATTTTCTAAAAATTTACAAAAATTCTACAGCTGAAAAGATATGCATGAATTATTTATGATTGAAAACTTGATTTTTCATAAGCTAATTTACTGTTGTTTGTCGCAAGTCAGATTGAAAATAAATCAAATTCAAACATTTGTTTTAAAATTTAAAATTACTTTAAATAAATCACAAATTTTAGTTGAAGTCAAATAATTTTTATGAAAATAAGAGTTTGTTTCTTCTCTTACGAATATGTATCAGGAAATACTGCAACAATTCGCGCAATTGTGCAAGCTTCAAGTTTTGGAAAACCAAATTTTATTGCAAGTCGTAAAAATTGAAGTGTATTAGCTTCACATGGTGGTCGTGGTGTATTGCATAGCTAAAAAATAAGTTAAATAAATTTTAATTAACTGTAAATAATCAATGATTATAAAAAAAAATAAAAATAATGAAATTGAAAAATAGAAATAACAAAGATTTAATTAAGGAAATTTTTTTCTTGATAAGTAATTTAGTAATAATGAGTAAAGTAATAATAGTAAGTAATAATGTTAAGTAGCACTGATATGAAAGATATTTATGAAAGTTAACAATGATAATATTAGTTAAATAAGCTTTTTATCCTAAATTTGCAATCAAAAAGTAAAATGTCGATAAATACAAAAAAAAAAAAGAAAAAACACGGATAGTTCTTTCTTCCTATGCAATTGATAAAATATTTGATAAAGAAAGATAAAATCAGTGAAATGAATAACTCGAAATAATGCATGTTTTGATAATTAATTAATTAATTAATGCATGGCTATGATCTAAATTGAATTAATCAACAATCAATCAATAAATAATCACTAAAACCTTTTGAAAGATGCGACAAAAATCATCGTCATGCATTTGTAACAATTCCTTATACATTAATGGTTTTAATAAATTCAAGCAAGCAAGGAATTTTTTATAATTATTAAAATCACTGGAATTAAAACTTCCACCAAAATATTTCACATCACACATGCCAGTAAATGCAAATGATAATACCTACAAATTGAAATACTTGAATAATTATTGTAAATTAACATCAAGAAATTTTAAACTATTTAACTAAAATTATCAATTGAAAGAAAAATTGATCACTTAAAAAATCCATCAATTTCTGTTTCTAATTTTAAACTAAATCATCTAAATTTGTTAATTGGAATTAAACTAAATAATTGTCTTCTAGAGTTTTAGGTACTTTTTTTTGAAGTAATTTCATTCATAAACAGAAAGACCTAACAATTTGTAATGACAATAAATTAAAACAAAAAAAAAAAGATGAAATTCTATGAAAATAATTTCAAATTAAAATTTGAAATATCTTTTTTTTTTTTTGAAATAGCTTTTTTATTATTGCTTTGCTATTTCAAAATAAAATATAAAATGAATTAAATTACTATCAAAAAATGATTGATCAGTTTATTTAAAAAATACCTGCTCAACTGTTGCTGATTTAAATTCCAAACTGACTGAATTTTCTTCCGGATTACTATCCATGTAATCATGAAAATATCTGCATGTTATGTATAAACAATGTCGATTATATAATAATGTTTCATCGATGCATTCAACATAATAGAATCTGAAAATAAACAAAAACAGAAAAAAAGAAAAAAGCGAAAAATTTTTGTCATTTGATAAAATTTGTTATTAGCAAAAATTGAATTTTAAAATTTAATTTCAAATTTGAAATTGTTTGTATGTTTGTTACATCGAAAAATTACACTTTACCAAAAATTTGTTTTTAAATTTTTTTTTTTTTTTTGATAAATTTGCTAACTTTCCTTGCATGAATTTTGGTTTTTGTGCATTTAAAAAAACTATTTTTGGGTACAAAAAATTAATATATTTTCAAATATTATAATTTTTTTTTTCATTATTAACACATTTTAGCAATATATTATTCATTTTCAAAAATTCATGCGTACATTTAATCCAAAATTTTTACATTTAATTAATTAACTAATTTATTATTACTAATGTAATTTAGATTATACTTTGCA